CGCCCTTTTGGGGACATTTGGCTTATTTTTGACAAGAATGGCGTCACCCGACTTATTCATGACGAAATTAAAAATTTTGGCATTTTTTGGCTATTTTTGCAAAGGGGAGGTTGGACCCGATGAGGGTTGCTTACGTATCTCACATCCGGTGAGAATCAAACCTGCGTAGTTCGGGCAGACTTGCCAAAATCAAAGCTACTTTGAACAATTTTCTTTCAATTTTTCAAATATTTTTCTTTTCTTTTTTTTTTCAAAAATCCGGCAGCATTTCTGTACTATTTGGGCACTTGGTTTTTCACAACAAATGGTCACCCTCACTTAGTCCTAACACTGCTTATTTTCATAATTCACTCATTTAGACAAGCCGGTCAACATGCAAAGCCGAGCAAATAAATGCGCAAGTAGCACGTAAGATGCATCAGGATGGTCAACTTATTTCAGGTCACCTGTCCTAGACGGACCCAACCCCTGTGTTGAGTCCCCTAAGTCAAATGCATATGATGCAAACAAGCGTCCTACTAGGGATCCGGCATGAGTTTTTGTTCTTCTAGGTTTAACCCTAGGTTTATTGGTCTAGACCTGGCTTACCCGAGCGGACAACTCGAGCTGAGGGGGAGGCACCGTACCGGGGATACAGAAGCTCCGCCGGCTTTACAACTTATCCAAACCTCGTTCTAAATGGGAAAAGACTCTAAACAGAAGAGAAGCTACATGAAGTGCACCCTTCTCCATGATGTAGAAGACTCAGAGAGAGGAAGGGATTCGCAACAGTTTATATATACAATTCACCAAATATCAAAGCGGTAAAGCATTTAGCACATTAAGCCCAAACATGTAACAAAATCAGATAAATCCAAATATAACAATTTAACTGAGCTCGAATTCTGAACCCTGAACAAAAAGTTCTGGGTTCTTGTCCCCAGCAGAGTCGCCAAAGCTGTCACACCTCCTTTTTTTCTTACTACACCCCGTGAAGGGTATAATAAAAGGGAGTTTTTCTAATTAAAGGACAATCGAAGCGGGATTCGTTTATTAAGAGATTCAGAGTCGCCACTTGGGAGATTTATGGTGTCCCAAGTCACCGGTTTGAATCCCGAATCGAGAAAAAGGTTTGACTCTGTTTAACAGTCGCGAACCAGAAATCCGGTTAAGGAATTCTGTTAACCCGGGAGAAGGGGTTAGGCACTCCCGAGTTCCGTGGTTCTAGCACGGTCGCTCAACTTCTATATTTGGCTAAAGTCTGGTTTTAATACATGTCATCCTATGGTGCGATTTTAAAATTGTTTAACCGCTTTTAATTAGTTTTTTTTTATGAAAGTGAACGCCGTTTAAGAGCGTGTTTTTGGATCACGTCACATGAAATGCACCCGGATCCTCGACACCTCTTATTCAACGTTTTGGGATTTGGATTTGGGTCGCATGAAATGCACACCCGTATTTAAGAAGGTAAAATTATTAAAAGCGCGCCTAGAGTGGCTAGCATCTTATTAACTTTGCGGGAAGCCATGAAAATTCGCTAAATGGCATGTCCCGAATTTCTAAAATGTTTTTAATAAAGCATTTAATGAGGGCCCCGCAATTTATGCATTTTTATTTGGTGAGGCTCGTCCCACTTTTATTTAAAGGCCAATCCTAAAGTAACTATTGATTTCTATCTACTATTTGTCTATAAACGGGCTAATTAATTGGCATGTAAATTCAAGCCTCAAATTCAAGTCCGAACTCAAACAAAAGCGAGGACCCATTTAATTTGAACCCGCCACCTAATTTGAGAACCAAATTTACATTTGCGAATTAGTACCCCATATGCCTAATATAATTTAAAGAATTGTGACTTATAGCAATTTTTGGGCCTTAAAGGTCAGCCCGGGATTTTTAACGTCCAGTTGCAGCTGAAAAACACGGCTCCAAGATCGAGCCCGGGCGGAAACAAAGTCACGCCAAATTGTAGGTCCAAAAGGCCTAATCAACCCCAACACTGACTATCTATTTTGTGCAATTATATTGAGCCTACCTCTGATTATACAAATCATTTTTGAATCTACTTATTTTACCTTACTTGTTTTGTTCTACTAATGGACTCTCATATTTTATTAAAATTGACAATCAACTGGGAAGCAGGAACCCGACTTTGGCTTAATTGATTTCACTTAACCTTCTGCATGAATGAATCAACGACACCCAAACTTTGAACACATCAACTATTTTAAAACTAATCCGGACTAATGTTACTCTACTACAGCGTAATCCCTGATTTAAAATAAAAAAAAAACTGGACTGTTAAAATCATCTGAAGTATGAACTAGTTTTTAACATTACTGAAATTTGAAACTACATCACACTACACTATACTATACTAGTAACATATTAAACCAAATGTTAAACCAAATTAAAATTACTAACTAGAGAGTTCACATACTCATAGGAGTGAATTGACCCAACTTAACAGTCTATATAACAGTCCATTACAAATTTAAACAACAGAAATAATACTAGTTAAACAGTCCAAGTTTAAACAATTCACATGCACTGAAATCAGAAGGTTGCACATTTCTAAACTAATTGTGTCCTCAAGCATTCGTAATGAGCACAGACTTGGAACACCACTTCATTTCATTTCAATTGAAATTTACATTAGCTGTGAGGCCAAATGTGTGTACCTGTAATTATGGATTAACAAGAGAAAGGAGAGGGAAGTCAGTGATAGCAAGTGCAACAGCAAGTGCAACAACACTAGTTCAGGAACAGTTTCAGCAAACCAGCAGGGAATCAACAACACAGCAACAGCAGGATTAACTTTTAAATCAAAACTAACTCTCAATCACCCAGGAACAACTCGATACTCTAAAACCCAGTAAACTGGCCAAAATACAGAATGAATGAACCCTGAAAATACTCAAACTCAAGCAGAAACCCCTCTGAAACCTCAAGTCACCAGAAAATGAACTAAAAGAGGTAAATCAACTACTAAAACTAGAAATGAACTAGGAAATTGAATGAATCAGTACTGTTTTTGGACTTTTCTGAAGTTTTTGTTGTTTTTTTTTTTTTGGATTTTCTTTTTTGAAAAAAAAAACTAAGATCCAAGGGATTTGTGATCTGAATTTGAATTTCGGATCTGGAGGCTTGAAGGGTATTTTGGGGGGAATTTTTAGCTTCAAAAACTTGTGTTTCAAGGCATGAGGATGCCATTTTATAGGCACCATAAGGGTGAGCAATCAGATTTTTAGTTTTGCACTCTAGTCCCTATGTTATTTTCAATTCAGTCCTCAAGTTTTTAACTTGTTACTCAAGTTATACTATTTATTTTCTGATTTCCAATTTAAACCCTTTCTAGAATATCCTAGTGAGTTCTAGTTTCCTCTACCATGTTCTAAACTACCCTGGAATTACCTCTTTATTTCTGAAAATTGCTAACCTAGATTAATGGGGTCTACTAATTATCACCACAGAAGTGTTAACCAAAACAAACTAACTACCCTCAAACACTAACTAATTAGAACTAAGCCTTATAATGAACTAAAACCACATAATGAATCAAAAAGTTATTGACAACACCCTAACCAAACTAACTAACACCGAGTTAACCAATTAAATCAAAACAAAACTAAAAGTGAAAGTCAGATAGAAAGACGATTAATATCCAATCTGAAATTAAAGGCAGACTAACTAGAATATAGACAAATAAACAGTTAAGCACAAAATTAGAAGAGAATTAACAACAATTAAGACACATATTGAACTGGAAATTAACACTCGAGAAAATAACAGAAAAATAAGAGGGATACACCAAGAAAAGAAAACTCACTAATATTGACACGATTTCAACAAAAATACGACTAACTGAAAATTCAACTCCGGCCATCTCTGGTGACGTTCGAACTCTTTTGACACTAAATTCCTCATGAGGGCAGCCCAGGAACCCTATGGTACTAATTTGGTAAGGATTGGATTATTTAGGGTTTTGGCCGGAAAGTTAAAAATTATCATTCGACCGGTTCCGGCCACATTCGAGGGTCAGGGTTAAGGGGGTTAGGTAGATGAGGGCCAGGCGGTCTAGGGGTGTTAATTTGGGGTGGTTTGGATGAGATGGTGGCATGACCAGAATATTTTCCAACGAAGATTCGACGAGTTCCGGTAAGATTCGAAAGAAAAGGAGGGTGGATTCGGATAGAGGAGGAGAAGGGGAGTTCATGGTGTTATTTTGGTGGCATTTGGAGGTGAGCCGCCATTACCGGCGATGGGGAAATCAGGGCGGCGGGGCTAGGGTTTTGAGAGAGTTCTCTGATTTAGGGTGTGGAAAGGGACGAGAAAAAGGAGGGGGGTGGTAAGCCTTCGGACAATTATATACTCCCTAACCTAGGATGCTCTCATCCGTTAGATTAACAATCAACGACCATGATTTAGGCCAGGAACGACGTCGTTTGGCGCCTCTTTGGACCGGACCGGGTAAAAGGGGTACCGGGCTGGTTAGACAGGTGTGTATTTGACTTGGGCACTTGGGCATGGACGGAATTGGAACAAAAATGGCCCAATCTGGGCCTTTCATTAAGACTTTCCTTTCACTCTTTTCTTTTATTTCCTTTTTTTGTTTTCATTTATTTATTTTGTTTTTGTATTTCATATTGTATTTTCTGATTTTATTAGAATACAAAAATCTAATTTCCTACAAAATTGATTAAATTCTATTTAAAAGTAAAATCGTGACAAATTCAACAATTGACAATTAAAAATGCAAAAATGGACTATTCTTGTCATTTTCTTTATATTATGTTCTAAAAAAAACTTAACCCCTAATAAGTCCTAAAATACGAAATTAAATCCTAAATGCAGATGCCACATGTATTTTTTATATTTTTCATATGAATTAAAATGCACAAATAAAACGCAAACAATTAACAGAAAATACTACAAAATTCACAAAAGTGTAAAATAATGAAAGAAAAATTATTTTGTTTGAATTTTGGGAATAATTCATATATAGGGCAAAAATCACGTGCTCACAGAACCGTCTGTACTATTTGATCTTGTAACCCCAACTGCTCGACGACCCTCGATCTGATGATGTTGGCAGAGCTTCCTGGATCGATCAACACACGTTTAACCCGAGATTTGTTGATAAGTACGGATATCACCAGTGCATCATTATGAGGTTGTACAATGCCTTCGGCATCCTCGTCGCTGAATGAAATGGTTCCCTCCGGGATGTAATCTCGGGTGCATTTTTCCCTTGTGATGGATACTTTAGTGCGCTTCATCATCGGTCCCTGGGGGACATCGACCCTTCCAATGATCATGTTGATGACGTGTTGAGGTTCTTCTTGTTCGGTCAATTTTTTGGAGTCCCTGTTCTTGAAGTGATTTTTGGCTCGATCACTCAAAAATTCTCGGAGATGCCCGTTATTGAAAAACCGGGCGACCTCTTCTCTCAACTGTCGGCAGTCCTCGGTCCTGTAGCCATGAGTTCCATGATATTTACACATCAGGTTAGGATCTCTCTGGTTAGGATCGGACTACAATCGTCGAGGCCTCATGGTTCCTTGATGCGCCCAATGGCTGATATGATGCCAGCCGCATCAACGTTGAAGTTATATTATGATAATCTTGGGGCTTCCCTTCCCCTGAGTGGCCTGTCGAAACCATTTTTGCTCATTTGACCTCGGCTAATGGGCCCTCGATCGCCTCTTTTTTTTCCTTGTAGAGTTGCGCCCGGACCCGTTTCCCCTTCGATCTGCACTGTATGTTTGGTACCGATCTAGGACCGGCCTTGATTCATGATCAACGACTCTCTTAGGCATGTCATCGGTTCTGATAGGATAAAGGGACCCAGAAGGAGCTCCGAGTTGGTTGTACTCGACTCTGATTTTTTACTGTTACCTATTGTGGACGTCGGCCCAAGTTACCGCCGGGTACTCTACCAAGTTTTGCTTCAGCTCCTGCGAAGCCAAGGAGCTTCGGGGGTTAAGTCCCTGAGTGAATGCCTGAACATGCCAATCGTATGCAATCGGAGGTAAGTCTATTTGTTCCATTTGAAATCTTGACACGAACTCCCTGAGCATCTCATTATCCCTTTGCTTAACCTTGAACAGATCTGATTTTCTGGTCTCGACCTTGATGGCCTCAGCATGAGCCTTTACAAAGTCATTCGTGAGGATAGCAAATGAATCAATGGAATTTTGGGGTAACTTTTGGTACCATATCATTTCTCCTATTGACAGAGTTTCCCCGAACTTCTTTAACAACACTGACTCGATCTCGTTGTCTTCCAAGTCGTTACCTTTGATGGCGCACGTGTAGGAGGTCACATGCTCATTCGGATCCATGGTTCCGTTATATTTTGGAATGGTGGACATACGAAACCTCTTCGGGATTGTGTCTCCACCTTCTTGTTGTTAGCCTCAATTTTCTTTTCATATGACTCCACCTATTTCGTTAATGCTTCAAGCATTTTCATTACTTCGGGACAGACACTTGGCTCCATTCCACCTGGCCTATCGGCGATCTGCTCATTTCTTTGGGTGATTTCCCAAGATGGTTCGGGCTCAACTTTTCTGGGGCTTGTCTTTGATTTTGCAGTTGCGCTATCACCCCCTGTTGAGCCTACAACATTTGAAAATCACTCATAGACTAACTCCGTCGCCTTCGCCTTCGGGCGCTCCTTGAGTCGTTAGTCGGGCTCCTCCGCGAATGCTGTTCTCGAGGTCAGTAGGTAGGTTGGCGTCGATGGCCACATGTGAGTTAGCATCGACTGGATTTGCAACCAGGACTCCGTTGGGATCAACAGGGGGCACCTCATTTCTAAGCACCAGATTGTTATTTTCGCCATGATGGCCAGACTCACCCTCAACGCTCAAGTGATCAAATTGAGAATTTGACAATTTTAAACTGACCTGAAATTGAGACCTTATAGAACAAGTGTTAAATAGAGTGTGTTATGGAGATTGTATATGTGATGACCGAAAGGTCATCTAGAGTTATAAATCTTAGTTTTGTGTTTCGAAACCTCAAATAGCTCCTATTAGCCTTTCTCGATTTGCATGCACGGTTCGTGCCTTTTTCGGAAAGCTTTTATGTGAAATATTGATTAATATGTGAATTCGAGACTTAAAATCCATTTGGGTTGACATCGGTCAATATTTTGAGCAAATGGACCCAGATCTGTGGTTTGACGGTCCCGGTGGGTCCGTATCATGATTTGGGACTTGGACATATGCCCGGAATAGAATCCAGAGGTCCCTAGCTCGAGTTATCGCATTTTGTTGAAAATTTGAAGTTGAAAGGTTTAAAGATTTGACCAAAATTTGACTTTATTGCTACCGGGTCCGGATTTTTGTTTCAGAGCTTGGCATAGGTTCCTTACTATATTTATACCTTGTATGAAAAATTTGGTGAAAAATGGAGTTGATTAGACGTGATTCGAACGTCCGGTTGTTAAAACAGAAATTCTTAAGTTCATTGAAAAATTTCATTTGATTTGGTGTCCGATGCGTAGTTCTAGGTTTTATTTTGGTGTTTTGATATCGCGAGCAAGTTCGTATGAGGCTTTTGGACTTGTGTACATGTTTGGTTTGGAGCCACGAGGGGTCGGGTGAGTTTCGGATAGGCTTCAGAGTGGTTTAAACTTAAGAAAATAGCTGGTACTCTACTATTTTTGGTGCATGCCTCAGACCTCGCAATTGCGAGGTCTAGCTTCACATTTGCGGTATAACAATCTCCCTGTCAGGTTCGTATTTGCGAACTACTTCCTCGCATTTGCGAAGAATAGATGGGCACCAATGGTTCGCATTTGCGAACAATTACTTCGTAATTGCGAAGTGGGCTGGGGGAGCAGAGTTCGCATTTGCGAACAATTACTTTGCAATTGCGAGGAGTCCAAGTTCGCATTTGCGAACAAACCATCGCAATTGCGATCGCAGCAGAAGTGTGAGACCTTCGCATTTGTGAAGGGTTTTTCGCATTTGCGGGGTTTGCAATTGCGACATTAAGCTGAGTTACACGGGAATTTTCTCATTCTTTCATATTTTTCAACCCTCAAAACCTTAGAGGCAATTTTTCAAAGAACTCTCCTTCCCCAATTCATTGGTAAGTGATTCTAACCTACTTTCTTTCAATTACCCATTACATTTCACAAGATTTCAACCTTAAATCTAGGATTTTCATGGTAGAAATTGGGGATTTAGGTATACGCGCTAGAGGACGAGGCCGAGATCGCGCCAGAGGCGGAGGCACGGGCAGAGCTCAGCCTAGAGCTCTAGCAGCAGCACCAGAAGCTGAGCCTCTGGTGGATTTTGATGAGGAGGTTCCATCTTAGACTGTACCTATACCAGCTCAGGTCCCACAGGGATTCATCACCCCTAGTGCTTCACGACACTCTAGTCCGTTTGGTGGGCCTTATGAAGAGTGTGGCCCAGGCCAGTACATTTCCTATAGAACCAGTTGTCTCTCAGGCTCGGGGAGGAGCACAGACTCCTGCTACTCACACTCCGAAGCAGATGGCTCCCCTGTATCAGACTCCAACAGCCCCGCCAGTTGGGGTAGTTCAGCTGGTTGTTGCGGCACAGGCCGGTCATAGGCCCACCATGTCTTCTGAGGGCTTATTGAGATTGGACAAGTTTACAAAGCTCTTCCCAGTTCACTTCAGTGGTGCACCTTCTGAGGACCCACAGGATTATCTTGACCACTGCCATGAGGTGCTGCGGAACATGGGTATAGTTGAGACCAATGGGGTCGATTTTGTTGTGTTTCAAATGACGGGTTCTGCCAAGAGGTGGTGGATTATGTATCGACCAGAGCTGTTGGGTCGCCTGCTCTTACTTGGCACAAGTTCTCTCAGCTATTTCTAGAGAAGTTTCTCCCTATCACCCTGAGAGAGGATTACAGCAGGCAGTTTGAGCGTCTCCAACAGGGCAGTTTGTTACTCAGTACGAGACCCATTTTGTTGATCGAGCTCGTCATGCTCTTATCTTGCTTCCTATTGAGAGGGAGAGGGGAGGAGGTTTATTGATGGACTCACTCACCCTATCAGGCTACAAATGGCCAAGGAGACCGGGGTGAGATTTCCTTTCAGACGGCTGTAAATGTTGCTAGGCGGATCGAGATGGTTCTTGCACATGAGCGAGGGCAGGGGTCTGATAAGAGGCCTCGTCATTTCGGTAGGTTCAGTGATGCCTCGTCTGGGGGCAGGGGTACTTTTGGTAGAGGCCATCCTCCTAGGCCGTTCCCTTAGTGCTCCAGGCATCTCACAGTGCTTCAGGTGGTCGCGACCCTCATATGTGTCATCCCGACCAAATAGCCTACAGTGCACCACCAGCTCATATTAGTGCACCTCTGCTCCAAAGTTTTCAGGGTGGCTACTCAGGTCAACAGGTTCAGTTTCAGGGACAGTAGTCACAGCAGCCGAGGTCTTGTTATACTTATGGTGAACCGAGGCACATTGCTAGATTTTGCCTTTAGGCACCAGGCTGCTCACAGCAGCAGGGTTTTCGTTTCATGGTCCCAGAACTGGTTGCTTCACCGCCCGCTCATCCAGCTAGAGGTAGGGGTCAGGCAGCTGGAGGTGGAGTTCAGGCCGTTAGAGGCGGAGATCAGGCCATTAGAGGTGGAGGCCAGCCAGCTAGGGCCCGTCCAAGAGACGTAGTTTAGAGTGGTGGGGCCCATCCCCGATGTTATGCTTTTCCAGCTAGGCCTGAGGCTGAGTCATCCGACGATTTTATCACAAGTATTGTTCCAGTTTGCCATAGAGATGCTTCAGTTCTAATTTATTCGGGATCTACTTATTCCTATGTGTCATCCTGTTTTACTTCATATCTAGTTGTGCCTCGTGATTCTTTGAGTTCTCATGTGTATGTTTCCACACCTGTGGGAGATTCTATTATTTTAGATCGTGTCTATTGTTCATGTGTGGTTACCATTGGGAGTCCCGTGACTAGCGTAGATCTCCTACTTCTCGATATGGTAGATTTTGATGTCATCTTGGGTATGGATTGGTTATAACCTTATCATGCTATATTGGATTTTCATTCCAAGATGGCGACCTTAGCTTTGTCGGGGTTGCCTCGATTAGAGTGGAGGGGGACTCCTAGCCATTCTACCAGCAGGGTTATCTCATATGTGAAGGCTCGACGTATGGTCGAGAAGGGCTGTCTAGCTTACTTGTCTTATGTCCGCGATTCTAGTGCGGAGGTTCCTTCTATGAATTCTATACCAGTTGTTCGTGAGTTTCCAGAGGTGTTTCCTGCAGATTTGCCGAGGATGTCACCCGGCAGAGATATTGACTTCAATATTGATTTAGCTCCGGGAACTCAACCCATTTCTATTCCTCCATACCGTATGGCCCCACCAGAGTTGAAAAAATTGAAGGAGAAGTTGCAAAATTTACTTGATAAGGGCTTCATTAGACCTAGTGTATCACCTTGGGGTGCGCCTGTGTTGTTCGTAAAGAAGAAAGATGGATCGATGAGGATATGCATAGACTATCGCCAGTTGAACAAAGTCACTATCAAGAACAAGTATCCATTGCCGAGGATTGATGACTTATTTGATCAGCTTCAGGGTGCCAAGGTATTTTAGAAGATTGATTTGAGGTCTGGCTACCATCAGGTTAAGATTAGGGCATCCAATGTCCCTAAGACAACTTTTTGGACTCGGTATGGGCATTATGAGTTTCTAGTGATGTCATTTGGGCTAACAAATATCCCAGCAACATTTATGGATTTGATGAATCGGGCGTTCAAGCCCTACTTGGATTCCTTCGTGATTGTATTTATTGATGATTTCTTGATCTACTCCCGCAATCGAGAGGAGCACGAGTAGCATCTTCGGATTGTACTTCAGACTCTGAGAGATAGCCAATTATATGCCAAGTTTTTAAAGTGCGAGTTTTGTTTGGACTCGATTACTTTCTTGGGGCACGTCATATCGGCAGAGGGCATACAGGTGGATCCTAAGAAGATTGAGGCAGTTCAGAACTGGCCTAGACCCACTTCAGCTACGGAGATCCAGAGCTTCCTGGGTTTGGCATATTATTATCGGGTTTGTGGAGGGGTTTTCATCTAAAGAAGCCCCATTGACCAGGTTGACCCAGAAGGGTGCCCCATTCAAATGTTCAGACGAGTGTAAGTTGAGCTTTTAGAAGCTCAAGACTATTTTGACTACAACGCCAGTGTTAGCGTTGCCCACAGGTTCAGGATCTTACACAGTGTATTGTGATGCATCTCGTATTGGGCTCAGTGCAGTGTTGATGCAGGAAGGCAGGGTGATCCCATATGCGTTGCGGCAGTTGAAGGTTCATGAGAACAATTACTCTGTTCATGACTTAAAGTTG